TATCCAAAGACGAAATAGCTGAATTTAATTTCTGATGTAAACTGAAAGGAAATGCAGGAATACATATATTTCTCGATGGTTGTTATCTACAAGAAAAAAAAGCATATAGAAACAAGTTTTTGAACTAGCCTACCAGAGAGTAAGCTCGTTAAGAACTTAAAAATATTTCGAATAAAAATAATGTATAACAATTATTGAATTGGGCTTTTGTATGATGTGAAGAATTATAAAGAACTCGGTGGATAACAAACCTCATAAATTTTTGGTGGAATCTATAATCCGAGGCATCGTTGGTATCATTAGAGGACGAAACTGTTCCCCCGGCGGTCCGCAGTGGTACAGATCTCAATTCAATAGATAATGTTGATGTTGTTAGGGTTAAGTCTCTTTGTGAATAGCCTCTTTAGCCCTCCACGAGTACCAGTGAGGGTCTCGGTCAATAAACTTATCCTCGTCCCAAAGCGGATAATGCCCGGTCTTCTAGGCGTTTTCAGAAACGATTAAGGGTTTGAGCTCTTGAAAGCCGTATATCCCTATTGTGCTCCTTAATCAGTTCATGCATGCATCTTTACCAATGTATACTTAGGAACAGTTTCGAGCTCATTCGGATATGGCTTTTCCCTTCACAAGTTGGCCTTACCAACGAAAAGCGTGTAAATTCAAAAAAAGGCTACTGTCAAAACTTATTTGAGTCTTAATGCGTTGTTTGTAAGAGTATTTTAATTCCTTGTGTTACTGAATCCACTTTTTAGGACGACCTTCGTAATGCAAGATTTCTCTCTTTGTAGCAACGAGGGTAAGTAAGTAATATTTGGCAGTACATCCGGTTGCAAAGTCAAAATACAGTTTCCTTTTTTGTGGTCCGGGTGGGATATGTCGGGGCAAGGATAACGTAGCATATTTTGCTACATTGAGCAATTGTTGTTGGCTTTAAGGAATTTTTGGTTTACAATGACTAATTATCATGCACTATTGTTGCAGTTAAAAATGAAAGGTTCTGCATGATTGCTGGACCACATAAATGATACGCTCGGCTTTCGTGATCTGTTTCATGAAACTTAGATGATTATTGTCGTCGCGACAGGTTTACCGTTTACACTATCGCCTAAGACCAAAATCGCTTATGTGATAAACCTGGCTTAAACTTAACATCCTTACACCCGCAGGTAAGTATGTTTTTCACCCTTGACAGTCACACGAATCAACCGTTGTACGTCAATCTTCCGCATCTGTCGAGAAAGAGAAATGTCTGCTGAGGGTGTATATATTTTTATTCCGCCGAAATGAAAAGTGAACCTTTTACGGACATCATTATGAATCGCTTCCTTCGTTCAGATGCAATAATTACGAACTTAACTGACCAACTTCATGGTTGAAATCAAAGAATATTCAAATTTAACAGTAGGATAAGGAATAAGGGACGTTTTAACTGGATCAAGACTTGAGCTTACAGATCATGTGACTACTAAAACCTGAACTAAATCTCAGTTGCTTAAAGATTTAAAAATGCAGTATAGATATTAGATGGTATATCATTTAGTTTGGCCCGCAAATATAATATTTTGTGGGCTTAACCTTTTGTGAATTGGAAGTTGTAGATGACATGTTGATGTTTAATACCTCCCTGTTGCGATGTTTTGATTTTGTACAATGCAAATATAGAAATTTGGAATTCTTTACCTTCTTGAAATTTCAGTGTTCTCGCCAAAAGATAAGCGCTTCAAAACCGGAGAGAGACAATGTCCATGGAATTGCAAACGCGGGTATGCCATCCTGAATAGACTCGATTTAAACATGTTTATTATGCTTGATATGTACCTTACCTAAATACAATGTATATCTATAAACGTATACATGTATATAGAACAACTAATATAAGTAAAAGTAAATGTCATGTAGAATGTTATTTATAAATATAGTCTAACTTATATAGACCTCGGTTAAAGACACTCAGATCTAATTCTGTAAGTTGTTACTTAAAGTACACAAACTTGGTTCTAGTCTGGTCATTCTGATGCTGTTAACAGCAAACAGTGTACATAGATGTGCGAGTCAATTTTGCTCTCTTTTGCATGGTTAAAATCAAAATTAACCAGCCCAAAGAGGTTATGTTAGTATATAACAGGCTTTCATTAATACATGGTGTTTTTCTGCAAACCTAAGTGTTTTGGGGCGATAAACAATCGCCATCAACTTAACGAATAAACATTTTCTGAAATGATTTATTTGTTTATATTTGTAGCAAATCCTGTCTTTATTTGCATAAAAATAGATGGCGAACAAAGACTTGCAAAAAGGTTGCCAACAGAGAAGAAACTTTATCCTTTTAAGGGCAGACTTCCTCTCCCTTGATCGTAGCGTTTTAACTAACCGACAGTCAAAGGTTCGAAATCCTGGAGAGTACAAGAAGAGGAAAGGTTAATAATCGTTTTCACGTGGTGGTTTTTAACATTTTAAAAAGAGAATCTACATTATTTTTATTTTGTTTTATAAGTTTTTTTCATGTAATAATTTTTATAAATAAATTTGTTAGATGTTTCTTGCCTTTTTTAATGTCTCCGTCTCTATATGTTACTATGAGACATTAAAAAGCTTTTTTGGCAAATTCGAGTGATTTTCCCACGCTGTTAGTACAGTTGATGAAAAGGGGATTTCGCAATTCTCTTTGACACTGATTATTGCTTTATAAG